GTAACGCTCAGCTTTTCCTAAGCATTAGCTTTACCTTATTTGCTATCAGCTTTCTTTACTTAAGCATTGGCTTTATTGATAGGGATACGCCCTATTGGTGGCGGGTTTTTTGCTTGCTTTTAGTTTGTTTCTTGATTTTACTTTTTTTTGCCTTCCTCCTTCCCAACCGTCACCCCTCCCCTTTCCCTTACGTGGCTTAGGCAACCGCTAAAGGATCTACGCCACGTAGCCATTCAATGTACCCATCCAAACCCCTCCTTTTTCCTCGGGTCCCTGGCTCGAAATCCGCACGCATCACTACATCACCCCTTCCCTTTCTCTCACATTCATCCCAGCCTCCTCCCCACGTCTCGAGTCCAACACCAAAAAAAGTGCTCATACACTGCAAACCCTCCTTTCCTCTTCCTCCCCTCTCCGCCTTACTCCCGGCCTGTGCCCTCTGCAGTGCGCCCCCTCCCGATCCCTTTTCGTACTTCGTGTATCCGCGGCAAAAACTAACAATACGGACCCTCCTTTTCATCTGTCACCTCCCCCCTCCTGCCCTCTCCCCTTTCCCCTACGTGGCTACGCCACGTCCCTATTCAACCCACCCAGCTAGTCCCTCACCCATGCCTCCAGTCCCCGTGCCCAGCATTCGCTTACGGTACCCTCTCCCCCACCACCACCACACCATCCGCGGAAGCTGAAAAATCGGTTGTAGATTGTGTATAGAGCCGGCCAAGCCGAGCCAAGCCGAGTTTTAGTTTATGCCCTCATAAAGCAACACCTTCATCTCAGTCGATGCCCTTACTCTCTGCATGCGAAAAGAGGCCAAAACGCTGCCAATATCAGCCTAAGAGTTGAACTACAGTCCCGCCGTTAGTGATCTGTAAGTTTAGCGCAATAACGTACGATCGCAGCGACAGGCCTGATGCGTTGCAGCCTGGGGTCGATTTATTTGAATAAATCTTTGTCAGTTACCGAGTCCAACACTTCCCTTTAACCATTGCATTTAAGGCCCAGGCTTAGAAGAGGTGGGCAAAAAAATTAGTTTAGAACTAGCTACTGCATATTCATTTTGGAAAAAATCGCCTGAGATCGTAATTAATGTACTGCAGGCATACGAACCAAAGTTTGCTCGAAGAAATTTGCCCGGCGAATGGTTTACGGTACGGTGCTATGCAGCATGGTACTCTACAGCTGGTGCTTGATGTCGGCTGGCTTAGAATACGAGCGCCAGTCTGTCTTTTGCGGTCTTTCCACAAATTTATCTTTCATTGGGTATGTTATTTGTTCTTCGAAACTTTGTTGATATTTGAGGGCCGACTTTCTTAATTAGTTGTGAAATTTGATCATTGTAAACAACCTAGCCTTCGCAGTTGTAGTTTCAACTAGTTTTCCCTCATATATCATTAATGATTTCGCGATCATTTTACAGTTTCGAATGGTTCAAACAATTCTGCACTTTGCAGATACAGTTCCTTCAGCTAGGTTTAGTTCGCTGAGAAAATCTGTTTGACCTCCCGGCAATAGCCGAATAATGTTACTTAATTTGCTAAAAATCTTTTCATTGGACTGTTTTGTTGAGAAAAATGGGCAACTTCTAATAAATTAAGTAATTTTTCCACAGTATATGAAGCTTACCAAATCGGGCAAAAACCGGTTTGTGGATTCGATCTTATCGATACTACATGGGTTGTGCTTTGCCAGCTGTGCTGGATTGTGAGTTACATGTCCCCAGCTGATAGCGTTTTCGCTTGTATTATGCATGTGGGCCGCCTGAGTGATGTTTATTTTCTCACGAACATTATTCACTGAGAAGCTGTGTTTTTTTTTTTTTACTGCCCGTAGAATAGACTGTACATTTTTTCAATAGATTTCGCTTTACAAATAAGGTGTTCGAATTTTGCTGACTTTCAAAAAACATTAAATTATTCCGCACTTCTACCTGGCATTAATTTATTTCATGCTTTTCTATGATTTTTAATCTGTTCCAAAGATCAATTTACATTTCAAAAAAGGTGTCATTTTGCTTCCAAACAATCCACTTAACTAACTTTTTACAATGTGTAGCAGTAGGCGAAAGTAACCCGAGTTGTAGACAACGAATGCTGTCTACAACTCGGGTTACTTTCGCCTACTGCCACACATTGTAAAAAGTTAATTACGAAGGAGCTTCTGACTTGACTGTTTACAGTTCACGTTGCACTTATAAGCACAATTGCTTTTTGCCGCTGTCAGTGAGAAATATTGTTCACTCATAAGCGACAAGCCTCCAAACGTTTTTTGAGATTAACACGAGTAATTATTCCTCCGCCTTCAAATACAGAAGATGGACAGTGACGCTCCGAAAACACTGAAACCTGCTGCTTTGGTCACTTCAAAATGGCATAATCCATTTCGATGACAACTGCCTACGCCACATTAGCGATTGAATCACAAAGTAGGTGCATTAGTATGCGAGTTGAAGCAAGCTGTAAATCGAGCGGCATTGGCAGATTTTGACGGGGTGAGTGGGAATTTTTAGCTCTGGCTGATTG